CTTCAACCATAAACCCTTAAGCTTCAAACCCCAAACCCTTAAGCCCTAAACCCTTACGCCCTAACCCTTAAGCTGCAAACCCTAAACCCTTCAGCCCCAAACCTCTAAGCCCTCAACCCTGAACCGTCAACCAGAACCCGACAGAGCCGAACACCCAAAGCCCTGGCCCGAAGCAGAAGCCTTGGGATTGCAAGCGGCTTTCTTGCGCGACATTCTAGTTCCTAACTTACGGCTTAGGGTCCAGGGTTTAGGGGTTTAAGGGTTTGGGGCTTCATAGTTTAGGGTTTAGGGTTTAGGCTCCGCAACCATGCCTGTGGCCCAAATTACACACTAGATATCAGAGATTACACCCAGGGGGCATAACCTACTAGTCTAGGGAATTGGGGGTGACCCCGTGGAAGGATTTTAGGGCTGTCCGGCTCGTCAAGCGGGGCTACAATACATGAGCTTTATGTAAAGTGTTGTTGCGTGTGTATATAAGACAAGACAAGGGTTGTTAATTCAGGGTGTTAGTTGGAAGCAACCTTGTATTGAATCTAGGAACCCGACAATTAGAATGGGGTTTCGGTGTGAAATATAGAGTTTATACAAGAACTATATGGGAAACGAACTATAGGGAATTCTCTTACTGACGCTTCCCGTCCCTAAACCCTTAACCTTAGACCTTAACCCCAATTGCCCTATCCAGCCCCAATTCTTGAATCCGTACAATAGCAGCCGTCCCTAAACCCTAAACCTTAAACATCAACCCCAAAGGCCCTGTACAGCCCCAACTGTTGAAACCGCACCATAGAAGTCATAGAAGGCACATGTCCTTCCCGCTTCTACTTTCGTTTTTTTATGGTTGACGCAAAGTCCAGGTGGTTTATCACGGAAAGCAGCCGATGTCATGGCCTGATCTGGCTCCAACCAACAAAACCTATAATAGAAACCAGGCACATGATCTTTGCTGTCACAAGTCTACATACTGTTACGTGTGGCTCCCCCGCATATTTCCAGCGCAAAACTGCCCAAAACCCTTGTCCAAGCAGGTGCTGAAGCATCGCGTTCTGGCAATCCCCATCCCCACAATGCGGGCAAAGCTGCAGCGCCCATCCAGGCATCCCGCATCATCTCGTCGACCTTCTGATGCACACTTACCCTAAAGCCTGAACTCCAAACCCCCAAACCCTGAAGCTTGCTTGGTTCGAAGACAGCATGCGTCGGCGGAACTCGGGTATCTTGCTTGAGTTAAATCTGTTGGGTTTCGAATCAGTGCACTCCGATTCCGGGCCGGTTATATGCTTTGGAATTGACTATGAGTCTGTCTATCTATCTATCTATCTATCTATCTAGCTGCCAACCTGTCTATCTATCTAGGAACTAAAAAGGAGATACGACTGTTCAGGGTCGGGTTCCACGAAAATGGAACAGTTCCCCAGCATCTGCTATTGAATCCAGACGGCCGTTCACTTTTCAGGCAGGAAGCCCTAAACCCTCAACCTGAACCCTACACCCTGGACCCTGAACCCTAAAACCCTAAACCCTAAACTTTGACAAGTGGCCAGCTTTACAAGCTGGAGGTCCTGAGAATCGTGGATGAACTGGTAGAGCTTTTGCTTGTCCCAGGCCTGAGGCTTCGAAGCTGAAGCAACCTTGGGGTTAGGCTCTAGGGCTTAGGGCTTAGGGTTTAGGGCTTAAGGTTTAGGGTTTAGGGTTTAGGGCTTAGGGCATAGGGCTTAGGGTCTTAGGGTTTAGGGTTGGATAGTCTCCAGGAAAGCCAGAGTGAGGCATGCTGCTTGACATTGGCGTCTAAGGAGTCCTGGATAGCTTCTTATAATAATCATAATAATAATAATAACACTAGTAAACAACAACAATAGCGAAGATAATAATTCTATATATATATATATATATACATACATTAATCAATTTGAGCAAGTGCGAATACCATGCCAAGGAAGCCGGGAAGCGACGTAGGTGACGGCTTCGGTGGCAACTACCTGCATGTAGCTCGCACGGGGAACCCTCAACGGCATAAAGACCTGAAGCCTAAAGCGATGATTTCGGGCTGTTCGGCGAGTAGTGGTTGGGGTTTCGGGCGTGTTGTTGCTTGCGGGCGTCGTATGGGGAACCAGGGGTTTGTTGTAAGCAAGACCGTGACTCAAGAAGCAACATAGACTCCGTTTCGTACAAGTCTAGAGCGAGCGACAGAGAGTGTGAGTGAGTGAGTGAGTGAGTGAGTGAGCGAGGGAGTGAGTGAGTGAGTGAGTGAGTGAGTGAGTGAGTGAGTGAGTGAGTCAGTGAGTGAGTGAGCGAGGGAGTGAGTGAGTGAGTGGAGAGTACTGTCGCTGCATATCTGCATGTCTATATTGGGCATGGTGCCTCTTGCTTAGTCGACAAGGTGCTTCCACAAATGTAGGTAAGACCTACGTGTCCTGCTGTTGATGATATAAATCCTGCCTTGACTTAAGGACTCTAAACCATGGGAAATTATGGTATATTCCTTATTCTGGGTAATGCAGGATTTATATCATCAACCATAGAACATGAACCGACCCACCTGGTCCTCCTGAGAGCTTTGCAGGACTGCGCCCGGCTCCAGCTCCTCCTTCCGTCAACCGGCTGTGACACAGATTTCGGGTTTAGGGTTTGGGGTTTAGAGCCTTTATGCAACCTTCAACCCTTCAACCCCTAAGCCCGAAACACCCAGAGCCTCTCAAGTCTACCCCCTCCCCCGCCCTCATGATGGGGATTTATTTCCCTGCGTTTGGGCTCTAGGATCGAGGAGGCCAGGGAGTCAAGGGTAGGTCTAGGGTTTAGGGTTTAGGGGTTTAGGGGTTTAGGGTTTAGGGCTTTTTCTTAAGGGCCCTTTTCGTCGCAATGACTCCGAAGCCCATATTGGGCAGGCAAGGGTTTAGGGTTTAAAGTTTAGGGAGCTTAAGGGTTGCGATTCAAATAGCCTAGGGGGGAGGGGGTTATCTCGGAGGATCGGGTTTAAGGGCTCAGGGCGTATGGGGCTGTTATAGGGGCGTATAGGGCTTGGGGTAGGGCTTGGGGTAGGGCTTGCGGGGGTTTAAGGTTTAGGGCTCAGCGCGGGGTTCGGGCTTAGGCGTTAGGGCGGCTTTGACTAGGTGGGCGCTGGTGAATTTAGGTGGAGGGGGAGGGGCATGAAGACCAGAACCACCTTAGGGTTTTAGGGTTTAGGGCAGGGTTTAAGTGGTTTAAGTAATTAGGGTTGAGGATTCATTGTGAGGTTTTGGGGTTTAGGACGTAGGCATGTACCTAAAAAGTTCCAAACTGCCCCGCAAACCCGAAAAACAGTGTTACTCTACCCATGGCCCAGTAGCCCACTCCTCGGATCGGCTAGAGGGCAAGTTTCAGGACTCGAAAATCTTTGAGCTTTGTGGGGGGAATATAGGGCCCCAAAAAAAGCGCATAATCAAAAACTCGGGTAGGGATAGCCCATATAAAGCGCCTCATAACGAATCCCCATAAGGTAGGGATATCCCTGCAGGATGCTTCTGCTTACGTCCTTTTTGGGTCCCTAAAGTTAGTGAGTTCCGCACAGGCCTCGCTGACTGCCTTGCAACATGCAATCCTAGACCCCCAAGCCACAGCAAGTCTCCAAATCACTCGGTTCGCCTGTACACGGTCCGGAGATTTGCGCACAGCTCTGCCGCGGATTATGATTCGCAACTCCTCGCGGAGTGCCGTTTCGGGGGATATGCCTGGGAGAAGGTGCCGTGTACCCATAGGCCCCTAAGTAGTTCCCTTTTATAATTTATGGCTTATATTTAGAATCCCACAAAGTAATCCCAAAAAGGAACTACTTAGGGGTCTATGGGTGGCGCCGAAGAGGAGTCGGGGTGCAGGGGTTCGGATCTTCTGGTGTCTCACGGAGCCGCGTACCCTGTCTGGGTTGCGTTTCCTTTACTTTCGGGTTCAAGGAAACTCCGTGCGGGGAAAGGGGGGGAGCCCCTGTGATTCGCGCATGCCTTTTTCTGCATGAATTATACTGAATTAGACCATTTGATTGTATTATGTTGTGCTGTACTATCTTTTACTATGTCATGTTATAGCATATCCTATCAAACTATAGAAAACTGTCGAGTCCCAAGTCTGAACCTAGCAAGCTTAAGCCTTGCCAACTCAACGCAGGACACCCGCTGGACATCTGCACCCGCACCGTCTGCCCGAAAGTTAAGCTCGAGAGCACAGGGTTCGACAGATCAGGAAAGGAACGCATCATCATAAACACGGAATATACTAGCACAGTGTCACATTGGCAGGGACAGAAGGGCAAGCATACCAGCTTGATCAGCAGATCAGCAGCCATGAGAATCCTCAAAATCCCAGGATAAAATCCAGACGGTCCTGTGGAGAGGTCAAGGTATGACCAGCTGAGACTTTGCCCCACCGGCAGCCGCCGCAAGACAAGAGCCTAAACATGGGCTGTGGATGCAGGTAGATGTGTGTACAAATACATGCCTACGCACCTACCTACCTGCCTACCATCCATGTATGCATGCATGTATGCATTCGTAGTTAATGACTAACTTACGGAGAACCCTGAACCCTAAACCCTAACCGGGGTGTGCTGAAGGCCCTAAGCGGACCAGGACGCTAAGTCAAGCCGCCGAACTACGAGGGTCGAAGTGCAGCCTTCTGCCCGTCGATGTCACTTGAAGCCTATAGCCCTTGAGGGGTTTCGGGCTCATTTTGCCACGCAAAGCGAAACAGGCAGAAAAGCCACATCTCGGAGGTAGATCCAGGGTTTGAGGGTCAAATTTGCATGCTACTGGCTTGACTGCCCTAATTAGACAGGTCGGACATCCATGGAAAGCCCAGCACACGCCCCGGTGCCCGAATTTCGAAACCTTGCATACTCCGAAAATTGAGCCTCAAGAGATCTGGTCACCTTGACGTCTCTAGCAGGCATTCAGTGGCTGGGGATTCCTTTGCGGGGGTGGGATGTAGCCTGGCATAGCATCCACGCTTCAGGCTTTCGGACCAGCAGCCGGTGGAAAAGACTCACAGAACAGTCCTGGACTCAGCTCTGGGGGTGAACGCTTTTTTCTAGTGGACCCTCCACCCTCAACTTAACTGAAAAGCGTTCGGCTCCAGCGCCCTTAAAATAGGGTTTAGGGTTTAGGCCCACATCGTATACAAGGCGGTGAGCTCGCAATCGAAAGCCCTCGCCGGAATCATAGTCCTTGTCGTGGAAGTTGCGGGCATAGAGCAGAGCCTCGTTTTGATCCAGAGCGACCTCTGCCACAGATGGGAGAACTCGGGCTTGGGATTCAATGAGCGCTTGGGATTTTCTGGCACTTCAGGCTCTTGGGAGATGTTTGTGTTCAGGGACGAAGTGTTGAGGATTTAGGTTTCATGGTGAGTTTCGAGCTTTAGGCTCTGAAGCCCCCTAACCTGCAACCTCAGAAACTGAAACTTCGCCCAGGAACCAGGTCAGCTGCCGCGAGTGACTTCAGTGCGCCAAGGAAGCTGGAGATCAGCAGAGGTAGTAGGCAGCCAGAACCGACCCTGGGATTCACTAAACCCTAAACCCTAAGCCCTAGTAGGCAGCGCCGGAATCGACCCTGGGCTTCACTAAAAACCTATGAAGGCTTATAGGGTCTCGGGCATAAATATCTCGGGATGAAGGTTATGAGTTTCAGGGCTTTCCGGGTTAGGGTTCAGGGTTTAGGGCTTTAGGGTTTATGTTAAGTCTAGGGGTTTTTCGGGTTTGGGATTGAGTTTTTCATATTGCCAAGGCCAGAGCCTTGTTGCAAACAGCCCAGCACTCTGACCTCCAACCCAATCTGGCCGCGGAGTCAGAACAGTGAGGAGTATCTTGTGAGATGTTCATCTAACCTAAACCCTAAGCCCTAAACCCTAAACCCGAAACCCGAAACCCGCTAAGCCAAACAGAAATAATACTTCCCTTGGAAACCCCCGGCCCAAGCTCAATCTTGGAAGATTCGCGAGGTGCCCGGTTCCCAAGGGGGGGTTAACGTCAAGGAACTCCTCCAATCAAAGGGAATGACTCCCCGGGGCTCCTATGAAGTTTGGCCGGTTTAGGGTTTAGGGCTTAGGGTTTAGGGTTTAGGATCTCTGAAGAAGTTCTAAAAGGATCCCAAGGTGATAGCTTATAGTTAGCGACCCTAATAGCATAGCCGCCATAGCCCTACAAGCCCACTTGCCTACGTTGGCTATGTCTGTCCTTGGACCCAACAAAAGGCGCCACTACGGCGGCTCAAGAGTACCAGTATTGAGCAGCTCTGAATCTTGGTAAACCACTCTACATCCGTAGCTAGAACTCAACGATGAAGCACGAAAAGAGGTTCATCCTGGCATGATCCCCGGCTCAAGGTCTAGGCTAGTGTTTCCGGTGTAGAGTTTTGGAGATAATCTTTGGAATTTCGGCTTCTTATGCCTTTGGCTTGGGTCCAGCTGCACATCTTGCACGGAAGTGGAGATACTTTCCGCGGCAGCACGCAGCAGATCCAGCCATTGGCGCGCAAGGCAAGCCTTGGTCGAGTTTGGAAAGTAGGACTTGGGGCTGAGAATTCAGGTTGCTTGGCTTCGGGCTTGCCAGAACATGTTGCTGGGATCTTAGGAAACTTTGCCCAGGTCTTTATAGTTGTAATGAGAGACTTACACCCTAAGTCCTAGATCCTAAGGCCCTCATCCGGCTCGGAGGTCGGAGGATGATTGCAGGAGGGTAGAGTTGAGGGATTGTCGTGAATGATTTACGGTGTGTGGTGTCGGTCTTGCCAGTTGCGGATAGGCCTTGCCGGGGGTTTGGAGATAACGTCTTCTGCTCGTTACACTGTTCATCTGGAAACGGACAGGCAGATTGCCCGGAGCATCGTGTGGAAGCGAGGCTTTCCTGCCAATGGCTCACGCTAAGCCCGAAGCCTCTGTATTACTATCACCATAGGCCCCCGATGAAAGGCCGGCTTAGGGTCTACATTTCTAAATCGATGGGCTTCCGAGTTGTTTTGATAATAAAATAAAACACAACAAGAACAAACAGTATGTAGTATAACATAATGACTATAGTGACTACAGCACTCCGATGTCGGCCCGGAGTTTACGCTTCGGGGATTACTCTCAGGGCCTGCCACAGGCATTACGACCGACTCGATTCGAAAACTATGCCGGAACCTCTCTCTCGCTCGCTCTCACGCTCTGTCTCTCTGGTTAAATACATACACACGTCACACATATGTATATATATATATGATAAATATGTGTGTGTGTATACATATGTATACAGACATCGGCATACGTGTATACATCTATGCAACATGCTTGCATACCTACCTACCCGCCTACCTACCTACACACTACCTACCTAAATCTACCAAACTACATACCCACCTACCTACCTACCTACCGACCCCGATGCGTGAGTACATACTTACTTACACCCGTACTTACATACACACGCACTCGAAACAGACAGACAGGCAAACAAAACCAGAGGTGTTTGGGTGTAGATAGGCTTAGGGTTTGGGTCACTGGGGTTTAGGGTTTTGGGAGTTTTGGGGGTCTTTTGGTTTTGAGGGGGTTAGAGTTAGAGGCTTCGTGGTTCAGGGCCCATGCTGCGGAACTTTAGGGGTGATCTATGTCGAGGGTGCAGGTTTGGCAATCAAGGTCGGCCTGCTTCAAGACTTCAGACTTGGGATACCAATACAGATGTACATTATGCCATGTATGCATCTACCTGCATACATACATACGTACAGACGCACGTAAATACATACTTGCAATCGCTCTGTCTGTCTGTCTGTCTGTCTGTCTGTCTCTGTCTCTGTCTCTGTCTCTGTCTCTGTCTCTGTCTCTGTCTCTGTCTCTGTCTCTGTCTCTGTCTCTGTCTCTGTCTCAAGCTGCAGGGAGGCTGCATTGCCCGTCTCGTGCGGGTGTGCATGAGCGTGCATCAGCACCTGCATACCCCTCTATCTTACGCGTGAATCATGTTACATGTTCTATAAGGCGTTGTACGGGCTTCTTCTGGGGGCTGAATAATCAGAATGGGGTTTGGGGCGACCATACGGAGCTCGAGTCGCAGGGGGTTGACGTCTGAGCTTTGGGCATGTAGGGTTTAGGGCAAACCCTAAAGTTGGCCCTGAAGCCTAAAACATCAAAAAAGCCTTTAACCCTAAATCCTAAACACGAACCGAAAACCCAAACCCGTAAACCCCAAACCCTGTAGCTTAAGCGCTCCTACCTGAGCCCCGAATGCTGCTACACGAGCTCTAAAACCACAGTCTGCGAGTAGCACCAGGCAGGCCGCCGTGGAGGTCGTTGCAAGTTCGATGGCCCCGGCCAGTATCCTCAGCGTTTGACGTCGACTTTCTTCGTACTGGCAAAAAAGAAGCGCCGTATCGTAGTTATCAAGGCCCCTGTTTCGGGGTATGTTGTGCTATCATGATAATAAAGGCATAAGAACCACCACAAAACGGCTGGGTGTGCATCGATGTCTTGTCGGCGTGGGAGCAGGAGGATGAGATTCTGATTTCCGCCACGAGCCAAGAATAAGCAGAGTGGCTCGGGACCATCGCGTCCCGAGATGGCTCTTTGAATGCGCTGGATCCAGCAATCAGGTCCGCGTTCCTCCTCTTGGTCGATGTTTGCGATATTCCGGGTGTGTAGTTCGGGTCTACGATGGTTTTACGTGATTTGGGATGAATACGGATCGAAAGTCGTAAGCTCCTAGTTGTTTGGGCTCAGGTGTGCGTGATATATCGGGATCACAGGTCTCAGGGCGTTACATCTTTTGGGGGCTTAGGGTTCGGGCCTGGATCTCACAGATCAAACCAATCAAAGCAGCAAACGTCCTCAGAACTCTACATCATTCTGAGACGGTGCATACCAACATGCAAGTATATTCTGTTACAGTGAAGCACACTAGATGACATTGCAGTACATCACATGTTTCATTTTGCGTCATTGAATCACATTTCCCTACATTGACATACATGACAATGCACTGCACTACAGTCACTCCATTCGATTCCCACCCGGCGTTGCATTGCAGTGCAGTGCAGTGCATTGCACTACATTACATGGCATTGCACTACATTACATGGCATTGAACTGCAATCAAGACCTTTGCATTGTGTTATTTATGCATGTCCGCCGCAGCATATATAAAAAAAAGGTCACCAGCAAGACATGTGCTTGATAGGTACACATGTATCTGCACATACAACTAGAGCTGCTTACATGTGGTACGTGTGTGTTTACACAAGATACACACATGTGTATATATATACACATGCAGATACAGATACAGATGCAGATACATGTACATGTACATGTACACGTACACATACATGCATATTTGTTTATATATATATATACATATACACGTACAAATGTGCATATACACACATATATAGATATATGCTCTATATATATGTATATATACACACACACACTTAAATATAGACAAAGAGAGAGGGAGGGAGAGAGAGAGAGAGAGAGCCTGTGTTTATTTGTACTTGTCTACAATGACTCATTCAAAAACAAATGCGCTCATATCTGCCGATATAGAGATATGCTCGAGTCCATGCATTTGATCTGGTCTGCATGTATCCAGATTCACACTTATGATCATTAAATCTCTATCCACTTATTGTCACGTGCATATCGTGCTAGGTAAGTAAGAAAGCAGCACGGCTGCAACCTTCAAGCCATGAGCCTGTTATGCTTCCTGCTTCTATTGTAGATATTTCTGACCCCTCTGTCTTCTGCCAGAGATTTCGGTCTTCAACGGCTTTGGACTTGAGGGTTGCACGGACACCAAGCCTAAACACATCCTACCCTAAATCTTACAGAACCCTATAGTAACTGATACAGTCTGTCTTACAGCAACAGTAACGCGAAAAGAACCCTTGAAGCACCGCACCCGCTTCACGCTCCTCCGTGTCCAGAACCTTCGCGGCGCTGCTAAATCCCGTCGACTCGACTGCTTTCCTCGTCTTCTTCATAGTAACCAGAAATGAAGTTTAAGGCTTTGGGCTTTTAGGGTTCAGGGCCCAAGGATGCATGAAGCAAGGGCATTGTCGCAAAAACCTCACCACACAGAAATGTTCGACAAGGACAGTCATCGGGGAGTTTCCCCCTATAAAGTTAGGACCCCCCTTGCCCCTTTTGGGGTAATAATGCCACCGTCAACCAATTAGATTATTATTCCTATGGTCCCCCCTACACTTCACCGATATATCACTACTACTTCCCCATTATCAATACAAGTATAGGAATAATCAATTACCCCATCTACTATCTCTAAGGTGGCATTATTACTCCAAAGGGGCAAGGGGTTCCACGTAGAATTTGGTTCAGGGTTTAGGGTTAAGGGTTGTAGGCAGACCAGAACTTGCAGAAGGGCGCACCATCATCACAAGGAGCATTTGGCACGTACGGGCAAGCTATCCAATGCCTCCCGAGAATTCTCGTGAGATGTGAGACTTAATGACACAGAAGCTAGCTAGGTGGCTTGCACTTTTAGACC